CGGGCCTTTCTATCAGGACATGACATCTCAATATCGGCACACAAAATTCTTAATCAAATTCCGCTAACCGAGTCAAACGGTACTTCTCGAATCCACTTACTCTGGACTTCTGGTCATGCCTCTCTGCCGGGCAATGAATGCGCACACGCTGTTGCTCGCGAAATTTCCCTCCGGGCCGCGCGGCAAGGTGAGGCGACCATTTCGGGGTGGGGGGATCATCTTTTTACAGCGACACTCTTCGTCACTATAGGAACATTCGTTACACTCACAGCGCTTTACCGCCATCTTTTTCCCGATAGGAGGCTGTAGCATTACGCCAGCTACAAACTAAAACTTTCCTCAATCTGGTATTTCTTGATAAATTCTACCCACAGTGCTATGCAGACCATTGCCCCGGCTGTTGAAACTCGCCCCCGACCTTCCATGTCTCGATCGAGTGCACTGCAAACATCTTGCGTCCCTTACCTGCTTTCCTTCACCCTTTACGTAACGAAGAGCTGTGGGACGATGCTATCGGCGATGGACCTCCGGAGGTCCTCCGAGCTACGATACAGCAGGCCCGACTCGTCGCTGGAGCGTTTCTAGGAGCCCCGGACTAAGGGTTCCTCCCACGCCCTCCTTCTCCATGCCTTTATGAACAAATACTCTTTTTTCTGTCTATGCGAACAATATCGTTAGTAAAATAACTGATTCACAGGAATTTGCTCCAACACACTGCGTATCGGGGACCCTCGCGGTCCTAAAGACGCAGTAAGTCAGATGGTGTGATCAATGCAAAAAATCCACAATATCCTATAAAAAGGCTCTACAATATCCAATCCGCAATATCCAATGAAATTTCTCTAAAGCGCTTCAAGTCACGAAGATTATGCAGCTCAGACGAACGAACAAGCTATTTTTTACATTGCGGCGAAACGATGCCGTAGTTCTATCCAGCAACGTTTATAATTAGACTCGCCACGGTGCTGATCCGAAGGTCGCGGGATCAAATCCCGGTCACGGCTGCTGCATTTTTGTTGGCGGCGGGAAAACTTGAGGCCCGTGCATGGAGTACTCCACTACGGCGTTTCTCATAATCAGATCGTTGTTATAAAACCGTTGAATACCTTCATTATATTATTACCATTTACATTTAGGAAGCTTGGTTATTTCAATCACGCGAAATTAACCGACGATACGTCGCCGTTGCTTCTTGTGTAGTTAAACGCGTTCGTATCATAACTGCTGCCACAGTTAGTGCAGTTCAACCAGGCTTCAAATACGCTTAAGGGGAGCACGTCGTATTTCCTTGAAGCGAAAGTGCATCGCCGACAACGTTGTACTACGAGGTGATTCTGTAGGCTGTTGCCAAGCGCGTGTCCTCTTATCTCCCTCTGGAACAACGATCGGTCCGTGCTCACAAGGCTATTGGTCACACTCCTCTCCTTGAATGTTATCTATGCAGTGTGTCCTAGAATAACCTTGCAGAGGACACAGCTCAAGCTCGAACAATCGTATGCAGCCTTTGTACTTCATCGAGCTTTTATGGTGCATGGAGGGCATGGAGGAGGCGGTACCTAAAACTACCTCAGATCCCGCGAATAATTGCAATGCAAGCTGAATACTAAAACGGTAAAATAGGTCCGCTTCGTTTACAGTGGTTACGGTGCCAGGCTGCTAACACGAACATGGCGTCTTCGATGGCGGTCACGTGAGCTACTGTGCAATGTCAGTGCACGTTAAGGAGCACCAGGTGGTCGAAGTTTCCGAAGCCTTCCACTACGATGCCTCTCGTACTCATATTGCGGGTTTGGAATATAAACGCCACATATTTTGCTATCCGAATTGGTCAGATATTTCGTATCCATTGGTTCTACATTCAAACGCGAAACATTTGTCGTTCAAAAGCTAGCCCTTTTTTAATATTGACGCAACTTAGCGGTTAATTGTCTTAATTTTGTTTCAAACGGTTTCGACCGGTGAACAACTCCTCTGCGTCGGAGTTTGAGAGCAAAAACATTATATATATGTGTCGCCCTACATCAGTGAGCCCAAAAGTTCTCTTTTGGGCAAAGCAAACATGTATCGTGATGCACACTTTGAACACTCCACTCAGTATTGGTCTCTAATCTTGGTGTCTGCAGCAAAATTTAGAGCACTACCATGACCTTGCGATTTATTGGCCAATGGAATTTTCATTTACCCACACTCGTGTTCTAGTCAGAGGCACTTTTTTCCTTCCTGTTATTGGACATTTTATTCCCAGAAGTTCCCACTTCAACAAGCCATACCTCCGTCAGTATGACTATCTTATATCGCTGGTTTTCTGTTTCTTTTATTTGGTTTCTAGAATCATGTCAACTGGAATAAACCCCACATCATAAGGTAGCGATCAGTAATAAAACAGTCGTTAATAAGCCCAGCTGCGCGAACTCGACATGTTTAAGCTGCTTAGAGAACAGCAGTTTCAGCCTCCCGGTGGAGCTGCGCCTGTTGTGACAGGTTCAATGAGTTTCGTCATCTATGATAAGCGGCTCTTCAGGCATCTAGCTGGCTTTTTTTTTTTCACGATATTCAGGGCACTCTAGGTGTCGTAACAGCCACTGGTCACAGTCGGCAGGAAAAACATCACATTCTTCTGTCATCCGTCGTCTTAACACACGTGATTACTTGAAGCACATCATCTACCTATTTCAGTAAGTGCAAAATTGCGTTCTGATCGCCACGCGCTAAGCGAGCTCCTCGCTACAGTCTGGAGCAAGTGATACAGTAATAAAAAAAAATTTCATCTGCATGAAAATGAGATTGAGGTCTGATGATCACTTATCGTAAAGCGATTATAAGGTGCGATAGGTGATCATAAGATGACCACTTATCATATTTATGGGGGTGGATTGACTGCCGCGGCAGAAATGGGCCTGCTGGAGCTCCAAGGCCGAAATACGCTAGAGCTACCACTTTGCTGCTTCAGCTTAGGAAAGACGGGGAGGAGGGGGGGGGGGCGGAAGGGCAACGATAAGCAAGAACCATATTCGTAGTCATATTTGCCAATTATCAGACAGAAAACTGGCCTTTCTTTCGCTTTAAGCATTCCAAGTCAAATATTCTACATAGCTTTGCGTAATGTATTGCTACGGCACTTGCTAAACTTAGGAGCCAGCCCATGGTTGCAATGACGTTCCGTGGCATGAAATGTCACCTTGATTTGTCAGGTGAGGAAGAAAAATCTGTTGTTTGCCATTTGATTGATTTATTGATTGATTTATTGATTGATTGATTTATTGATTGATTGATTGATTGATTTGTGGGACTTAACCTCCCAAAACCTCCATATGACTATGAGAGCCGCCGTAGTGTAGGGCTCCGGAAACTTCGACCACCAGGGTTCTTTAGCATGCACCCGTGTGCCGTTAGATCACCCTTGTGCATACGCGCCTGTACGATTGTCCAAACAAGAAAATGAATAGTCTGGGAAGATTAGTATAATGCTCAAAGGTTAGGATTTTAGCATCACAACGTTATACAAATTGTGCGTTTTGCGCGATACATACGAAACAATTACAAGTCGTTCATGTTAACGAAATGCGATGTTAGTGGGCACCATTGCAAGGTTATTATTAGTCTGTAGCTAAACAGTATTGTTAAAACCTCCAAAATATGCCGATAATGATTTTTTAAAGTGAAATAAACGCAAGTGACACAGATAGAATAAAAAGAAAAAAATTGAAGGACTCCATAGCGAGACTGGGCCCCCTGCGCAACACCTCCTCAGATGCTAGCCAGAGTTCGGTTCACGATGCAGGCCTCAAGCTCGCTGCAAGGAACCAAACGCTTGTACACGCAGCATTTGTCATTTGCTCATAACAAACCGCAGTGACACAGACATCACAATTTCTGTGAAACGAGCTCTTCAACTCTATTGTGTTAATACGCAACCTTTATGTGAACAGGTAACAGAAGCGTGAGCCAAGGCTTATATCGTTCTAAAAGCGAATGGTTATCAGGTGCTTTTCTGATGATAAGACATCATTTGTTAAATTGGGCTCCGGCTGTCAGTCGCGTCCATGTTCATTCCTTGGAGCACTTTTCGGGCAGCTTATTGAACAAGTTTGCAATTCTCCTACGATATATTCACGATGTTTTCTATTCCGAACGAACGTAACGCCTGAAACATCGTCTGTCACGGAGGAATAACATGAGGGCTCAATATGTGCGCGGTTGGGCATGTTGACGCCGTATTCGGCTAAGTATAGCTTACATCAAATACCATCAGAGTAAGTCCATATAACTTCGAAAAACGTGCCGAATCTGCAACGTACGTGATCATATGGATATTTTTTTCGTAAGTGCGATCATGCCTTTAATTAGGAAACGTTTTCGGACTGTTGACAAACACTGCCTGTGTTCTCGCGCAACGAAAGTACTTTTAAAGTTTTAGATATCAGAATTCATTTTATATAGTTCATTTTGTTCTGTGCTCATTTTTTGCGCATTCAGCAATTTTCGCGCAGTCTGTGCGTACCTTCATCACCTGAAACAACATGTCAGACGGACCCCCCCCCCCCCCCTCTTCCAGTACAGTATTGGTTGAAGAAACTGTCGCTGTATCACGAAGCCGCAAATAATGACTTTCGTTTTCTGTTCACGTCAGATCTCGCACGCATACTATGGAGAGCCTTCGACGCAATACAGTGTCAACTAGATTGAAGGGAAATGTAAGGTATAAAAGCAACGGCAATGTCGTGCAAGCATTCGCAACGATAGCGGTGGCCTCTTACATTGTTTCGATAGGCTAGCACCCAACGTACATCCGGTTCTGTCGGCGCGCAGTGTTCTCTGTATTGCGCAAGCACTGGACAAGGTTGCATCGAGCCCTGTGTTTGCATTGGCTGCGTTCTACACGAGATCTGTACCGGTGGAAGCACAAAACACCCTCTCCCAGCGTTCTCACCAACACACGCGCGTCAATGACAAAAAGTCGCTGGCCCGCTGTGTCCTTGGCTTTTTTTTTTCAACGAGCGTACACAGCAGGAAGTACTGTTCTTTTGCAGGGCTACGCCTGCTCCCGTACAGCCAACCACCATGCTTGGAGTTTTCTGGCGGTGCATCGTCACTGGGCTGGTGGCCGGAGTCGGGGCTGTCGTGCTGCAGTACCTGTGGGACACGCTCCGGAGATGCCTGCGGAAAGATCTGCCGCCAGGCCCTTTCGGTGTGCCTCTGCTCGGCTACCTTCCATTCATGCCAAAGGACGGCCACCGTGGCGTCGAGGCGCTTAGGCAGAAGTATGGCAACATATTCGGGTGCGTACTTACTGGCTTGTTTATTGTTACGAAAGCAGCCTCGCGAATGAGCTACGCTGGTGGCAGAGACTTTCTCTGAAAACAATTAAAGGGGACTCTGGTACTGCGACTATTCAGCAACTATGGTAATGATGGGTAGTGCACGGATTTGCCTTGTCTTCGTGCTTGTGATTTTGTTTATTTTTGTGTTTGGTTTTGCTTCGAATAAAGGAACAGATGATTGTGAACTTCATGACCTGACTTGAATTGGTGAGCCCGTTAAGGTCAAGGTGGTGAAATGCAACTGCTGAACATTGGCTGATTGTCGTTTCCTGACAAGGCGGCTCCAGGCCACGTAAATCCAAACGGAGCCGGAAGAACGAAGATTAGACAAACTTGTGTATAGCACCGTGCGTAGCTGCTCCCATAGACACTAGCGCCACAGTGGCGTATTCACAGGAAACTCTATGGCTGGTGCTACGAGGTCATCAAGGGCAAAACTTCAAGCCGGCAGTTAAATTGTCTGTCATATCAGCAAACTCAACACCGTAGAACACTTTTTTTGCTTTCTTTTATTCGCTTTTTTCGCGCTTGGACCGAAGAAAAAAAAAACATGGTTGATCCCTCCGTCATCGGAATCAGCATTACACGAAAGTTAAACGTGTCCATACAGAAGTAGTTCAATGTTTGTTTACTGAGACAGATTGTGCAATGTCTTTTTATGCATCCACGCTGACGCTGTGTGTCATCTCTATTCGGACGACTAACGTCCATGATTAATGATTAAATAAGCCCTTGCGGTGATATATACTTGTGGTAGTTGTAGTAGGCAATAGTGAGAGCAGTAACAGATAAAAGGGTGTGACATCCACAAGAGCGTGACATGTTGGACGCCGCACTTAATTGCGCTAAGGTCACCTACTCGTGGCATTTTATAGCGTTGTTGAACACGACTGTCATACTAGAGCAACGCGCGCCTTGTTCAAGGTTGGTCTAAAAGGCACAAAACCCTGTTTGCCACGAGAAAAGAAAACATAATTGATCAGATACCTCTTTCATGCGGAGAGCACTACATTGGACAAACCGACCGGCTCCGTCAACATGCTTGTAACGTCAAAAACGGTCACGATGTTTTTTTTTTTTGGTACTGCATTGTAGCACGTGTGGGTGCAAACCACTTTTTTTATGACACTGTGATTGTATGTAAAAAACAGAAATAAAATAACAAGGGATATTATTGAGGCAGAGAGCATTTGTTGATTCAGGTAGTCAAAATTTCTGGAGCCCTCCACTACAGCGTCTCTCATAATCAAATGGTGGTTTTGGGACGTTAAATCTCACATATCAGGATTTGTAGATTAGGGCAGAAGTGCGTCAACAAGCCCTCTCTCGTCGGTCTTTGTGAAAAAGAATTGTTTTTCCTGAGATTAAGATTTTCACGCATAGCAAATGTGGGCTTCTAATCAGTTTTGTCTGTTTTTCGTATTTCGGGAGCATATATATGTATGCTTTTCGAAATAAATTTCTAGAAGCACTTTCCTCTGTCCTCTGTGCTTTCCCTTGTCCTGTGTCTCACATATTCCACACTCTACGTCATTACTTATGTCTCACCAACACGCCAAACTTCATACTCTTGTCTTCAATGTTGACCGGGCGCAATTATTTGCGGAGTGAGTTACAGACAGACACACAGACAGACATATAGACACACAGATATATATATATATATATATATATATCATCCCCTGATGAAGGGAGGACCCCTCCCGAAACTGTTGGGAAATAAATATATTTATCCTTGTTGACAACGCTCCCGTTGTGCCATATCCCATACCTTCACAAAGACTAACTGGCCCATTGAATTATTACTCCCACTATATATATATATATATATATATATATATATATATATATATATATATATATATATATATATATATATATATATATATATATATATATATATATATATATATATATATATAGATAGATAGATAGATAGATAGATAGATAGATATATAGATATATAGATAGATAGATAGATAGATAGATAGATAGATAGATAGATAGATACGCTCAAAGTCGAAGATCTTTAAGGAATGCTTCACACTTAAAAAAGGAAAGAAAAAAAAACACCGGATAGCATGAAAGAAAAAAAAAAAACTGGTGGTCAACAAAGCGCGCTGCCCAGCTCCGCCCTTCCCTCAAGCTCAGCACCACTGTAGTGCGACACTGCCTTAATTTATTGTTTGTTTGTTTTTTGTTTTTGTACGACAGCACACGTCACATCCCTTTCACATGCTTCTTAAGTTTGGAAAGCTTGAGACACACGGGGATTGCTAAGGTTTCTACCCGTTTTCAGCGGTACAGCTCCCTGAAATAAAGTTGAAAAAATATGCACAGCCTTGCTCCACCTCTCTCAGAAACCACTCAATCTACTCTTTATTGCTTGAATCGAGAACGTTTAAATGTGTTTACGTCTCTCGCAGAGTTCACCTAGGCTGCCGCTACGTGGTGTTCCTGTGTGACTTCGAATCCGTCAAGGAGGCCTTATCGCAGGATTCGCTCCTCAACCGACCTGAAGAGTTTCCCTTCAAAGTCAACGAGCACTCGCAAGGTAAGCGCCGACAACATACGACAGTTCGGCCCCATAAAGTGCTCAGCACATAATAATTCTGAGAGGCTCCAGCAAGCATTCTATAGTGCAGCTACCAAATGAACGGTCTCAATATTTCGAGGCATTGAAAGTTTCCATCGTAGAGGCGCAGGATTCGCTCTTACTATAGAAAGGAACATTGACGAGCCAGAAAGAAAAATTAATAACAATAAAGGCGGAGCGAGGAAATGTTAGCGAGGATCGGCAATGCTAATGCAGCTGTAATAAACAACGCTGTGTATGTCCTACATCCCTTTCACTGTCTGTCGTGCGTGTTATTTTCTGTTTACTTAAGTCGCTTGGAGCCCTGTGCCAAGGGGGGTCCGCAAAAATGTCATACTATACATTGCAGAGCTATAAAAATACGATGAGTTTACAGAAAAAAAAGTAATGACCCAAAGGCGCTTTTAAGGGGGGGGGGGGGGAGGTGATCGAACTTTTTTGTGATCCCGATATTGTCGTATAGCTTGTCACTGCAGTTGCATATCGCTTTGATATAATACTATCTGGTCTTTTACTTCCCAAAACCACGATATGATTATGAGAGACGTCGTATGCATGGAGGGCTCCGGAGATATTGACCATCTGATGGCTACGGTATAGTATACAATGATTCTATTATTGTACATACGCATAATAACGAGTAAAACACACGCACTCACAGACAAACACAAAGGAGACAGTAGAAAGAGAGTAGTAGCTAGGTATTCAAGGAGTTTCGTTAAGGTGTTCTGTCCTCAAGAACACCAGCCACGCTATCATGCTAAATGTGCACTGTGCAGGGGGTAGCTAGCTACCCCTTGCACAGTGCAACCTTCTGGTCCTTTGCAACTGGACCAGAAGATAGCGCCGCTCCAAGATCTAGTTTTGAATGCGTGCCGCCTACAGAATTTGTCAGTATCGTAGCAGTAACAGTGACACATCATGCTCGTATTACATGCTTAGAAACTTGGGGAAACTTGCTGTTTCTGTACTTAAATACAATAAACTTCTTTGTAACAATAACGGTCTTTGTGTGTCTGTCTGTGTTTAAATAACCTTTGAGGCAATGTGGAGTATGATCCAGTGAACACATGCTCCATCTTCTATGTCAAGTTCTCGCGGGATTCAAAGGCTACGAGGTATAGGTTTATTTCAGGTAGTTGTATTTATACTGATTGATTGCGTCGCGCCATAAAGGTCGCTACATGTGCCGAAGTAACGCAGACACTAAAGACGGTGCATCTCAAAAAAAGCACAGAAATTGTATCCTTGCCATGTGCTGCTCTGGCAGCAGAGTCAACACATAGAGCTCGCAACCAGCGTAGTACAAGGTTGTAGTGCCACGCATGAGCATGAATACCTCAATGCTCTTCTGTAGAATGGAAAGTTGGGCGGTCTAAGCTCTTCAGGTTAAAAGAGTGGGAGACGCATATGTGAAGCATGCGTCGATTTTCTTGACAGACAATGAGTTTGCATGTCTGCTTGACTCATGCAATGTCAAAAAACATGTTTGAATTTCTTATGGATGTGCACGTGTTGTTAAATGATTTGCTTTATTTTATTACTTACGCTTATGTGCTCTATGTATGGCTTCGTATTTCACGTTTTAGGTTTTCGAAACCACTTTTCACTTGCGAAACAGCACTCGTCCTATGCGCTCAGTGTTTCTTGCGTCATCGCCTTTAGTGCTTCATCAATCGTGCATCTAATGACATTCCACGCGCGATGATTTCACAGACTTCAGCGTCGGCCGTGAACCGGAACATGTCACCAGAAACCAGGTCTCTGCTATCTATTACATAGGAGCGCTTTCCGCAGTGCAGCCAGCCCGAAAGCTGCGGCCAAAGTTCGGTGTCTCAAAGAGGCAGCAGTAGTCAAAGAAGGCTCGCTCACGTGCAGTGTGCTCTCAATATATGCGAAAACCGCGGAGCGAGAAAGTCTCGTCTTTGTACCTCCACAAGTGAGCATTGTTTAGCGAGCTTATCTTAATACGACGGAAACAGATACGATGGGTTGGTCAGGCGATAAGTTTCATTGTAGAGCGCTCATTGTGCATAAAAAGCTTCGGGGGCTTGTGACTTAATTGAAACAATGCTTCCGGTCAGCAGTCAAATATATACTGCAACCTACATCCTCCTCGATCCCGGCCTCTTATAGGGCGAAGCTCTTAGGCCATGGGTCGTTTTCTCCTCCATGTGTAGTATGTAGCCACCTCTAGCTTATAACTTCCTTAATGGATGGAATTGTGTGTTTATTTTCTTGGGCATAATTTAACTAGATAGCGTTAGTGGTTTTAAGAGCATATCCACAGAGTGAATGATGATGAGTGGGGCTAAGCATTCATACGTCCATCCGTGTGTCCAACCGTTCATGCGTCTGTCCGTTCACCCATCCGTCCATACATCCGTCTGTCCATCCGTCCGTCTATCCGTGCATCTGTTCGTGTTTCCGTCCGTCCGTTAGTTCGTGAGGACACACGGACGGACGGACGGACGGATGCTTCACCCCAATCATCATCATTGACTCCGCAGATAGGCTGTGATTTTTTAAATACTTTTTGTGCTGTAGACAATTTTCTGATCTTTCCACGTAGAAGCAGACCTCTGCCTGTTTGCGAACAGTGTGACGCCACCGCATCCACTCCGTCCACAACTCCGTCTCTCGGAGCAGGTGCTGGACTGCTGGTTGGCAAAATATTTGCGTTGGCGGGATTCTTCTGCATAGCAGCAGTGTGACAGAAGTTTCAGCGAATTGTTACTTCCTAAAGACACAGCTTTAAAAAAAAAAACTCACTGCATGTAATGCACGATTCTCTTACGTCAACATGTGGTGATTTGGTCGTTGCAGACGACAGCCGTAGACAAATCTTACCCTGTTCGAAAGCGATCGTTTTGCATGTTCATGATGGCAGGCGCTTTAGAGAATATTTGCACAACTATAGGATGTAAACGTGGTCAATGTCTGTCACAAAATCTGCACAGCAGTTTTAAACGAGTTACAGCATTGGCAGCCGCGAGGTTTCGGGTTGCTGTGTGCAAGGTCACAAATAAGATCCTGATACTCGGGGCACAATATTATGACCGGAAAAGGTCGAAAGAAAAAGAAGCACTTTATGCCGGGCGTTGGGATTAGGTTAACGAATCCCCGTAAAAATCAAAACGAAGTTTTCACTTAGGGCGTTATTTATAACCCTATCAAAAGTTATGCCAGCTAAACACGATAACTAATATTTTCTTGTACAGTTACCTCGCTGCATCTGATACCTACAATGAGTTTGCATACTTACTTCGCTCTTTTAGAATTGATACACAAATTTCTAATGCACAATGTTACTTCGTGAAGATCGATCCGTAAATGTCAGCTACCAATTATATGAGAAACCAGAATATCCGCTGTTTCCGTTAATGCCTATGAGGTATCCAATAAAACGTGGTATACCATTAATGGGTTAGTGTATTCGCCGGTGAGAAGCGTATAAGCAGCTTCAGCAATGCTAATACAAGCTAACAGCTTATGCGTAGTCATGAGTTTCGTCCCAGAGACCATGCATATCTTTTTTCTGCACGCAGGGCAAACGCTGAGGTGTACGCACTCGCAGATGATCGCGTCAAACGCATTTTCACCTTGACTAAAATGTCGAATCGTGCTGTTTAGTCGACAACCGCGGTCACTATTATCATTCACAATGAGCACCAATGTTTTCGCAAGCAAGATGCATCGTTATTCACACAGAATTAAACACCACGCACTATATTGTCACTCTCACCATGCCTAATGGCGTACCGATGTTGTCGATGCCTTTCGGCGCAAAAACTATGCCACGATCAACACTGCAGATTTTCGAAGATGATATCGCTTGCCGGCAAGTGTGCTTCCCAACTTCCCTTTGCTCCGACGAAAGGTGTAGCCTCGGTAGCTGTGGCTTGCACAGGAATACTCTGTGGCCTAGAGCGGCCCTCAGCATTCTAAAACCAATGTTTTCGTATATAGGAGCACTGCTATGTATTAAAACAAGTCGCAATACAACAAAAAAACTTGGCTATTCTCGGCCTCGGGCAGTTTGCGGCCACGTCCGCCAGGGGGATGCCGCAGCACATGTCATGCAATGGCTGCGTCAGTCGCTCTAGTTACTTGCGATGGCACGTGCCATTGGTGCTACTCCCAAGAAGGAAATATGATCCGACGATGAGAAACGGGCGCGAAAATAACAAATACATGTGGCACTGCAAATCAGCCACTTGTCACTGCCATAATTTCTCATTTCTCGTGTAGCAGCGCACCGCAAAAGTTACTCTTTCTAAGCGTAAGTACGCTCGCTCAAGTGGGACAGGGGTGGATATTCACACTCCGCTGCGTCTCACCGTCACCCCATCCGGGCGCTTTTCCCGAGAGTTCACCCTTTGACGTCCCGCGCCCTCGCCCCTCGCGCCCCTCCCCTTCTTGCCTTGGTTCACTCTTACCAAAATACGAAGACACGTGATTAGCCCTACCACAACGCTAGACATGATAACCTCGGCTAAAAACAGTTTCACTGTTCAAAAGAAAAACGCGCTGCTGCCGTGGCAACTGATCGAGGCTGATAAAGCTATGCATGTGCGCACGGCACATACATAGCTGACCTCTATGAGGCGTGCTCGCATATTGGAGCAGCACGCCCTGCAAACTTTGTAATGCGCCACCGTTTCGTTCAAGTCTTCGCGATAAATTGTGCTCACCCTTGGAGCTCCGCGCCTTAACGACAGCTTCGTTGTTTTGGCACACTTAACGTCCGTTATGACATCTAAACTTGTCTGTAGCTAGTTAACATAGTTGATTTGGTGCAAGTCGACGCGCAACAATACATATGTTGCTGCATGGACAACTTGACAAGTTTCTGCAGCACGCAAATGTGGAAACCTCCAATCCTGCAGTAATGTAAATGTAACACGCGAGGACACAAAAGGCCAGGGAACCCCACACAACACACATCATATGAACACACGAACGGCGTGTATGGCCCAACTGCTGCGTGTCAATCTCAAACATGGCGCCCAGCCCGGTGCACTGCAGCGTCACGTAGCGGCTGAGTTTCAGGACATGCGCCACGTAGTAAGTATATAATAGCGCAGGAGCCTACACATTTAATTTACATAATAGGAGTGTGCACGTGCACTATAAATACACTGCCATAACTGAAACCATTTTACAAGGGTATGCAGTTCAGTCGTTCCAAGTTAGACATATTTCTGAAATAATAGGTATTAATATTCTCAATAAGTGCTCACTGCTAGTGTGCATACGAAGAAAAACAAGCCCCTAAAATTGCTTTATTTTCTTTAATGCGTTAAAATGACAAGCTAACACAATCTTGCTAAAGCTACGCAGACTGGGTATACCTTATGGAAAGATTGCCCGCCTCCGGTTTCAGCTGGTCAAGCGCCTTTTACGCAATACATTGCAGGACTGATAGTGCTCAATGGACCCCTGTGGAAGGAGCAGCGCAGGTTCTCGCTGAAGCTCTTCAAGAACCTTGGCATCGCAACGACGGCCATGGAGAAACACATTCACGTAAGGCGAAACTAAGCACGTTCACGGGAAGCATCGAGTCGGAGATGTTTTGAAAATACACTAACTTACCTCTCATTTGGTAAATTATTAGGCTCGTTCAGCGGTGGTGGTTTACCGTATGGTGAATACAAAAATACCGTTCCGTCGCGATCGACACGTCTCTACATTATTCTGCGGTACATCTGCTAACCACTAATGCATTACATGTGATAACCACAGATGCATTAGGTCCAGGTGCCCACACTTTAGGTCGAAGCACCACACCGCTGGCCGCTCGTCGGCGGAACACACCCGCGAAAAGATACAGCCATCATCTGCGCGTGCGCGGCATACCTAGGAAGCAAGCCACGCTGCCGGGTGTATCTGTTTGGTCCTCAGCGCCGCGCCAACACAACGGGAGGTGGATGGGTGGGAGATCGGGGTTTGTGGGATAAAGCGTGCTTGCACTGCATGCAACGGAATCTCTACACGGACATTGTGGCGCTCCTTAATTCCGCGCTACAACGGAATCTCTACATTGTGGCGCTACCTTAATCAAATCTCACTTACACTTTTAATGAGCTACATTATATTACCCAAAATCCAAAGAACATTTATTTAGTCTTAAATTTATGTGACCACATTTATGACGAAGTCTTGACATCAAGTACTCTCATTACCTTTCACAACTCCTATTCACTTCTAATTGTTGGTAATTGCGTTAACCTAACTATTATTACGCTTTAGCAGGCGAAGGTTCTGTCTCATCTGTGTTTTAGTCGGGTTAATTACTCTGATGTCTTAAAAATATCTCGGGACACTTGAATTTTCTTAATGGTTTTTTCATCAATTTTTACATATCTTAGTGAACTGTAGAGGTGTAGTATGCCTCTGCGTAATTTTCGCTACTTCATTTGTTTTCGGTGGTGGGCGACCAGACAATCACATTGATTACGCCCAGGCAAGCGATGATAAGTCGACACGATGATTTCGGGGTGCACTCATTGGGGGTTTATTTATCTAATACCACTTAAATTTACACACTGTACTAAGTCACAAATACAAAACATGGAAAATGACGGCATACCCCTCGGCTTGCATGACTGGTCTCCGGTGGTGAGATGCGCTGTTGACCCCGAGTCTGCTCACACCGAAAAGGGCCCGAGTCGCTGCTTAAATAAGGTTTTTCAGCATCCACGGATGCGCGGACCAATCAGGCAAGCCGAGGATAAGGAATACCAACACGAGTTTTCATGGTTGCGTGAAGCCTGCCTCGCAACAGAACTGCAGCAGCTTTTTGAAACGGGCACATTCTCTAAAACGGCCTTGACGCGCACACAATTGCTCAAATGTCGGCCCCCGACCGCCCCGAAAGACGCGTGCGGCGGCTCGCTCGTTTGGGGTGGTGGTGGTAGTGGTTAGTAGAGGAGAAGGGCACCTAATTTTTGCCGCCCGGTCAAAAACACGGCGCGGTGCCCGGTTTGGCGCGAAGCGCGCAGTGACAGAGCGGATGCAGCCCTTTCTGTTCAGACTCTCATTCTCCCTCAAGGCGCCCTCCCCGAGACAAATCGTTAAATAGCGCCTCCAACAAGAACATTTGGCAAAGAACGAACTCCAGCTGTAGCCGAAAAATAAAAAAGCTATCCGCGAGACATTGCCTTCGGGACAGTATGGTGACGTTTCACTCTGATCACCATTTTTCGCATCACTCATCTCGTATACGCCGCCAGACAGTCAAACTTGTCGCTTTATGAGGCACGTAAGGCTTCCACCTTAACATATAAAGTAGGATAGAAGCCCTCTTGCCACGTAAATGATTTCTGGCTACGGCCGTGATATTGGGCATCCCTCAGTGCCACGCGATAAAACGTTCACCTGAATTCTCCCTAAGCAATGGGACATGCTGGAGTGTACGTCACTCTTGCCGAGTTCCACATGTGCCGAGTGAAGACGTGAGCTTTGAGCGCATAGTATTTTCGACGCAGGAGGAGCTCTCGTACCTGCTTCGCGAACTGGAGTCGGTGAAGAGTGGCCGCATCGTGCCCACGACCGTGCTCACGCCCAGCACATCAAATATCATCTCGGCGTTGGTGTTCGGTCGCCGATTCGAGTACGACGACCCAGAGCGCGTCTATTTGGACAAGCTGATCGAAGTGATTCCGGCGCTGGCCGCCCAGGTGTCGGCCATCAACTTCTTCCCCTGGCTTCGGAAGCTGTTCGTCTTCTTCCGCATGGGAGCATGTGAGCAGTTGAGGGACGCACTTGTCCGCAGGGAAGACTTCGCCGAGTGAGTGCTTCTTTCTGCACGGCGCACTTGTCGTTGAAAGACGTCGAGTTTTCATTGGAAATGCCAGTGATATGTCGTATAAAGTAAGAACAGTGTGCTATACAGCAGTACTGAAGAAACACCATGGCGCTATAACGAATACGGGACAAGACCTAGCCAGCACAACTGCTTACTTTCAGCTGAACTGTTTTACTGCGGACACTGAGCGTATATAAACACGGACTCAGGGAAGCCGGAGAGGGCTGGCAACGAATGTGTCAGTATATACTCTCTCTTCATTTACCTAAGAAAGAGCTAGACTGCTTGTGATAGACGACACGCGTACATTTTCCTTTTTTTATTTTTGCAGCTTCACATGAGTGCTTAAATATGCTTAGTACGTGTAGTACAACACCTCTGCTGAAAGCAAGTGCTTTTCCTGTATGTTTCTAGCTGGACGGTGTTCATTATTGTTTTATAGTTTATGGAGTATGATGTACTAACAACATGCCCAAACGTTCTTCCTTTTGAAGGACAAGGAGGTTAGTGCCAGTACTGTGTCCTTACTTAATCCGTACTTGCACTGCGCTGTCTGCAGCTACAGATACGTACCGACTGGCTGGCATTCAGCCGATATTAACGTCATCTAGCAATCCTGTTCATCACAGATACCCCCTTCTGGCGCGAATAACGATGTGTTGTCTGCAAATGTGCCAAATTCACACATTGTTCCACGGTACTAAATGAGATAACTCGAAGAAGAAAAAAAAAGAGGTAACATGTTTTCACAGCGGAAGCTGCTACGAGATCACAACAAAAATCGCCTACGCCGTACTTGTCCACTGCCGCCGCCTGTGTCCATATCGCTATTGCCGTAACATCCGTCCGTAACACCTTGAAAACAATAGGATTCAAACGAGGGTCTCCTGCGTGCCTGCCCAAAATTTTACCATTGAGCTATGCCGGTGCTTGGAAATCCGTTGCAAACAGACTTTATAGGCAGGCTTCATGTCGGGAAAGGAATCGCATTATTGTGTGCAGTAAATCGCTTTGAAAGAGCAAATGGACAGCCAGGCGTCACACTATGCGAATTGCGTAACGAGTGGGTCGTTGAATGGTGCAACCCATTACAATAGTGCTGCTATAATTTTTCATCGTCGTCAGCCACAGCATTAAAAAAATACACGAACTCCCTTGCAAGAGTGTAGCTGGTACCCCGATTCTCAGAAAAATGACAAAGGATGGCAAAGTGAATGCATCCCTACTACACAAAAATTCAAAAATTGGAACGATTTATGGCATAGTACCCTGCAAGTGTGCCTGAAAAATTTGCCCACATAGTGTTTAAAAAATGTCCTGAAAGGCCGCTCTTCCAGTTTTTTGCTGTGGCTGTGCGGCACGTTCCACGCAGCTGGATCTGGCGTTTTGTTGTTGTTGTTGTTTTGCGAAGTTTCACAAGTGGATCGTAATTAGCATGCCGATTCATTTATTCTGTAGTAACTCAAACAATTCAATCTCAGGCTCAGTATCTATGGACAATTTGTTTTTGGTTCTATTCATACTGAGCAAAGAAAGATTAAACTTTTGTCATGGCAGCTATGACGTGGCAAGTACAGTCTATAGCAAGATAGGAAAATACGGTACGGTATAGCCACGCCGCTCCTTTTTCGCTCGCTGTGTAGTCGCTTCCTGTTTCAGTGCAATGCATTCCCCGGACGACACGTTCTTCGTTAACAATTGGTAGGTTGTGAAAAATCATTGCGGCCTGATGATAATCCGGCCGCAAAGCTTATGTGACGATCCCATAGTAAACTATATAAATGAGAACTGACAACAACGCCAAGGAGTTTATAGAGGATGTTATTAGCAGTAAATGTAATGTAAATGAGGTCAAAAAGATAACTTGCCGTGGGCAGGAACCAAACCTGCGGCCTTTGAATAACACTTTCGATGATCTATAGTAGGATACGGCAACCTGCGACCCGCGTGACAGTATTATGCGGTTCCGGGACGGTGTCACACCTCCCTGTGTTCATTTTTGTATATTTGAGCCACGGTGTCGCAGTTTTGACATCAAATGGGCCTCAGTTTTCTGACTTCAGTTTTTTTTTTTAGTACTTTATGTTCGTATATTGCAACGTTAGTACATGCAACGCTGAAAATAAACATGTCTACAGCCCATTTTTACAGTATTGTGAAATAAAATGCACCAAATTTTTTTCTCTCTTCGACTGCCCCTCCCAACTCCCCCGATTGGTTGTGCGGACTCCCACCATGTCTGCTTCGTGCAACTTGACCCGCCGTCTCAAAAGGTGGCCGACCCCTGCTCTAGAGCATCGGACGCGTTATTCGGAAGTCTCAAGTTCAGCCCTGCCCCCGGCGAGCTACCTTTTGGTCAACTTTTCTTTCTTCCATTTACATTACATTTACTACTAATAACATCCCTTATACTTTCCTTGGTAGTGTCGTCTATTAGTTTTCATTAATATTGCGTCGAACAAAGAAAAACAAGCCCTTGAAGATTCCACTTCTTTCCTTGAATGTAAATAATAGTATTTTGTATAATAAATGCCTGTTGTTGAGGTGCTTTCACTGAAATTAGGAAGAGGAGTACGTAAATACTGCACCGAATTTCCGCAACTTTCAATGACACGCATCAAAGTGGTCGCCTGGGGTCATGCGCAGCCCAGTGATGTGCATTATTATACCAAAACTAAAGCATCAATGATTTATGCGTGCAACTAGTGAGAAAGACTGCATGACGATATTTAGTACGGTTTATTTTTTATGGCAGTTAGTGTTTGTCTGTTGCCGACGGAGCTACCTAAGCCTGGCAGGTTGAATACTGCATGTAAATTTCCTCCTCGTTTAAGCTCGAAGATCGACTTCCACCAGGACACGTACCAGGATGGTTTGGTGCGGGACTACATCGACGGCTTCCTCAGTGAAATGAAGCAGCAGGACGAAGGATGCAAGACCTTCACACGTGCGTACATTGCCGGGTTGTTGGCACTTTGCACCTTATCATAAGTGAAATCATAGGTCGCTGCCAGGGAAAGCGTCAACATACTGTTTTTTGGCAGCCATTTAAAAGACAAAAGTACCAAATGAACGCGGGGCTAAGTGTTGACGCAAATGCAAACGAAGACACAGGAAAAAAAGGAGAAAAGTGTTTCTTTGTCTCCTGCATGACCACGTATGGGGGCACGTGCACGCAGCGTCATCTTCCGTCGGCAACCGCGGTAGTCGGCCGTAATCGAATGCGAAATAGGCGAACAAAATCATATCTCACAAAAAAGCTGGTTATCAAAAACGACCGCCGGTTAACTACAGCAGGAACTTATTTGAGCATTTTGGTAAAAATGCAGTGTCCCTCTGCAAACCACGTGGCTTTACATAGTGTTTGATATTTTACTATACTCATGTGCTTTTAATGGGTGGTACTCAATTGTTCTAATAAGCCACATGCTTCGTAGTTCAACACTGCAATTTTAATCTGAGTCGTTTTTGATAACCAGCTTTTTTCAAAAGATGCGAATATACGTTTTTGCCTATTTCCCACTCATTTGAGGTAGGACGCCATGGCTACCACCCAGAGATGGCGCCTCCTACACAAGTCTCCAAATCCTGAGAACGCCTTCGTTAGATGTTACGCTGCTTAATTTCCGTCGTGAGAGCATGCTGCTTCAGAAGAGAGTCCTCCATACACGCCTGTTGTGGAACTTCCTTCTTAAGCGGATATGACAATAGACAAATTTTATGAGCATAGCGAAAAAACTTCCTCGCCACAGTCGCCTTTGCTTATATAGGCTGGGTGAGTTGCCACGGCAAGAATTCAAAGTAGTGCCTTCAAGCAAAGTCGAAGCGTTCTAAGGCCGCGGTATCATCTGCAATATCGCAAGTGCAACACTCACTGCTCGTTCCATCTTGAGCACAGGAAGAAAATGTCAATGCGAAAGCCTTGGTTGAGTCATCAAACGCGAAAAGTGGCCACAGGCGATGACAGTACTACTTAATCAAAAAAGTTATGTGGTGACGTCACTATTAGGAATCATGACGTCACTATGAGGGATCATGACGTCACATGTCTTCTATATTAGTGACGTCACCACATACATTGCCAGTTGATCAATATGGTTGATTGGGTGAGTTGGTGATGATTGTTTTGAAATGAGAGCACACTTCTTAGACGCGGGCAGAAAGACAGTGACAAGCGCTCACCACAAACTGAAAATTATTCGGAAAACTATTAAATATATACTGACATATGAAACAATGTCATGGCACATACGATAAAACCAAATCACGGACCCGTATACCTGAACCGATAAAAGATCTATGTACGTCAGCCCCGCCTTGCCAACGCCTACTGTGCCTCAGGGTGATAATTGAAGCAACATACATAGCGCGTGAGCACTTGACTTGCGTCAGTAAACCATGAATAGCTCTGTCCGATAAGGAGCTAGCATTTGTAAACAGTAGCAGATGTCATAGGAGTTAAGCAAAGTTATATATATATATATATATATATATATATATATATATATATATATATATATATATATATATATATATATATATATATATATATATATATATTCACAATGCACTTCTAAAATGTAAATCTCTTGGAAGTTAAGGCAAAAACAAGGCCTCTGGCTTGTGCAAAGCAATGCACAAAACCTCCGCGACTTTTGGCCAATGGCGTATCGCGATTTGGATACATAGCGCCTATATGGCAAGTTTCGCAACTCGCAGAAATGAACAACTCTGGGTTCTAAACCCGCGCACTTGTTTGAGCCTGTCTTTAAACGTAGCGGACAGATGTGTTCCGGATTCACAAGCCGTACTGCCATAGAATTACATGCATAGCGGTCTGGGAACACTGATCAAACCTGTGCATCTGCTGTTAAACGAACTGTTGTCGAAATGTGAGTAAAGAACGGAATTTATCTCGCTCTACGAACTCGCGACTCGGTGATGAACTCCATGCCTCTTGAGTCTAACATTGAGGTAACAATCACGTTTTTCCGATCGATTCGCAGGCAATTTGCTGAAGGGCAACGTAGCGTCCTTCTTCGGCGCAGGCAGCGAAACCGTGCGCGCCGCCATCGAGTGGTTGCTGCTGGTGAGCGCCATGAAGCCGGAGCTACAGCGTCGCATCCACGACGAGATCGACGCCGTGCTCGCGAGTGGCCAAAGCTCGCACATCTCCTGGAGCAACCGGAGTCAGATGCCGTACACACAGGCCTTCATGTGGGAGACGATGCGCATCAAGCCTGTCAACCCTCTCAGCCTCATGAGATAGTGAGTATCTTTACACTCGAATCGTTCTTATTAGAACGAGAGGATACGGGACAAGCCCGCTCTTGTACACGTTATTTGCGCAGTTTTATCTAACCGGGTCACTAGTGGCCTCGAGATCTTCGAGTGGCGCGCTCTCGCGTGTGACGTCAGTTTGTGGACTCCGCTCTCAACCGCGCTGCAGCAGCCACTGCTCCTGGGCGCGGACCATCTACTTGGGGCGGGAACGTTGTCAAACTATCAGCGTCGCAATGGTCAACTAACACCCACAAAGAATGCTTTCGAATGCAACTATGAATTTGGTTTAGTCGCAGCCCAATCGACCGGGCCAAGAAAGCTCTCAGATGGCGATGCCGCCGACCGCATTGCTGGTCAGAGAGTGAAACTATGTGTGAGTGTCCCCCGCTTGTCATCTGCATATGTAGTTTCCGCCGTTGGATAGTATTTATTTCAAGCGTCTCGAAATTTCAAGGAGCGTGCCTTTCTCTAGCATCTACAACGTGTAGAAAACAGCCTGCGAAACGTCGTGGTGTCGCATCGATGGCGGTGTACGACGCCGGCCACGTTGTTGAATGTGCGCAGCCGGTGCCGCCAATGGAGATCGAATCACCGTCGTGGCCCTGGCACTTAAAACACGCTGACTTGCGAACCCGCCACACAACGTCTCTGTGGTGATCGAGCACTGCGCAATGGTTAAGTACTGCTCTGTGCCTCGGTGTGCTTCGTCCGCCCGGATAAAGAACGTTAGCCTTCACAACAATCCTAAAGAGAAGGGCATGCCTGTCCTTTTCCTTGGGATATATTTTTTTTTTTGCAGTGCAGCGACACTGAAATTGAACACGAGCATATATGTGAGAACCGCTAATTTCTGCCATTTTGGCATTCCCAAACAACACATGAGATAATTGCTGCAGAGCAGCTGCATAAATTGCTGCTTCGAGCGTTCATGGCATTCACTAGGAATGCAAAGCCGCATCAAATTACCAGATTTGAGACAATCGTACTTGTATTGCAGTTATGGGTCCCCGCCACGGTGGTCTAGTGGCTAAGGTGCTCGGTTGCTGACCCGCAGGGCGCGGGCTCAAATCCCGGCTGCGGCGGCTGCATTTCCGATGGAGGCGGAAATGTTGTAGGCCCGTGTGCTCAGATTTGGGTGCACGTTAAAGAACCCCAGGTGGTCGAAATTTCCGGAGCCCTCCACTACGGCGTCTCTCATAATCAAATAGTGGTTTTGGGACGTTAAACCCCACAAATCAATCATCAATCGCAGTTATGGGCGTCGGCAGGGTGCAGGCTCGTGTTGTATCGCAGTAAGAAAAGTCTTGGGCGGTAGGTGCTTGTGTCACTCGCGAAATGGGCAAGCCCCGCTTTAATGCACCCGCTGGCCGATGCATATGGCTGCACTTTGTCTCAGTATTGTTTGCTCAATGAGAATGACATCATTAAGTAGTTCATATCAATATCACACAGCGCCGACACTCGGGTATCAGGCAATAACCAATAGCTATCAGTGATTGTACATACCGCGCACAGCGCCACAAAGATTATCTGACAACCTATAGTGAATGCGCACTGAACAGCGACAGCAGGTTTCGCTAGGCACGCGCTTGTCTTGATCAGTCAACTACGTATATATGTACTTACACTAACCATATAAAGCTGTATAGTCCTAGATGTATCGCACCACACAGCTGCGCTTACGAAGCGCGCTTACCCGAGGCGATACGGAGGCCGCGTCGTGGGCTCCCCTGTCTAGGGATTTTGGCAGTAAGTTTCGGGACTGCACCTCACCGTTGCCTACGCTTGTTGCCTGAGTGCACTGAATGGTTGAAGTATGGCGAAGCACTGAAACACGGTTGAAAGCTTACCGAAAAGAGGAGCGCAGGGCGGATATAGCAAAAGTCACTCATCTAAGTGCTTGCTGCACATGGTCAATAAAGTCGTGGGGCGCTTTCCCTCTCCGAGTTTCACTATCCACTTCATCGCCATCTTCGGCTCCTTATTATAATAGTGAAAGTTGACTCCTTTTTCTCGGGTGGGTGATCATGTATAGGCACAGAGCAGTATACTCCATCATTACGCAGCACTCGCCGAGAAAACAAGGGGCTGCAGTTTAAAAAAAAAAAAGCGCTGTGCTTTTAAAATGAGCGTTAAACGCGGACATTCACGGTTGTTAGAACAACCAATTCAACTTCGTATTTGCCGAGTTTTTCCAAGACGGTGGTCTCAATACGGCGCCACGCTTCGAAAGTATGCGCATCCTCGAACTGACGTCATACAAGCGCGGTTCGCAGCGCCACCATCAGTCGCACACCAGTCCAATAGCGCGGTACAAGGAACGAAATCGGCAGACAATCTCGGAAGTCGGCGTAAAGCTTCAGCCACTCTTCGTGTTTGTCTGGCACGCGACAGGGTAATTGTTTAACGTGATTTTCGGCACATTTTACCATCGCCGTTAGGTGTCGTATAAAGACCAAGGGCGATAACATCACCCCGTGCGTCCTAGGTTCTATGCGTGAATAACAGCGCGCGAGTTCAGCCGCCTATTGCGGTTCAGGTAAATGAAAACGTGCTGAACTTCTTTTGTCACACGAAATGCCTATCGGTACCCCGGAGCCGGGGCTGCGCGGTTTCGGCTGAAATTGCGTACTTTAAACCGCCTGCTCAAGCCCACGCGAAATTGGAAACTTGCTTACTGACCCTTCCTTATATGCCGAACAACGACAGCAGTTCTGCTGCGAACTGGCATTCGATGCGATCGTCCTGTCCACTTCATTTTGGTGTCTTGTGTTTAGCGCAGTTATAATGTTTCCTAATTGTGAACTGAAAGCACTGCGCAAGCGACCAGTTTTTTAGCCCTGGAACGACAACTTTAGTGCCAACGAGATCACTTTCCAGCGAGAATATATATATATATATATATATATATATATATATATATATATATATATATATATATATATATATATATATATATTCTGAATAACATCATCGAACGTACATATATACGAAACCGCCACCCAATGCAGTCACTGTCCAACCCAGAGAGATTTGTTATTAGATATCCAATCGCATCTGCGCACTTCCTTGACGTCAACACTTCAGCGCACTTCAGGTTGGAGATTTTCCCATTAATATTCACGTCTCTGGTTCTCGGTCGAAAACGAACTGCCTGCACCATTTCTGCCAACATTCCGTAAACTCCGCTCAGTCAAACGTAATATTCTATCAGGTGTGACGCTGTTTCGATTTCTAGTACACGTAGTGTTTACATCAACAGCGAAAAACTAGTTATGGCTACAACGGAAACCAGCTGTAACTCGTACGACCCTCATGGGCAGATCAATGCTACGTGCACCGCTGTTCAGGGGCGGAACTCACATCCACGTTTGATTGCAACTAAGGCACGGAATTATCCACGGCGAATCACATTTGTTTCACCCGTTTCGTTTTTTACCTTCGCGTAAGTGTTAAAACTTCCACCTCTTATAGTGTCACCCTTCTAGGTTCGAAACAATGTATACAGGGGACCGGGTCGTCGTAACCTGTCGTTGTCTCACGCTTCTTGGCGCAACACTGCGAAAACCCCGCATAGCGTAGCCATCTGTATCACATTCAGTGCGTGCTAGTTCTAAGTAGAAGTTTACTTCCTCTTGTTCTTCGAGCACGTTGATGATGATGATGATGATGATGATGATGATGATAATAGGCGCGGAGTGCTTTACGTGCATGGACAACCGCATGCTGTGGTCGCTTGGCGTGACGCAGGCAAAACCGTGTATAAAAAATTGAAAAAAAAAGAGGAAACAAGCAGAAATGTAAGAAGAGAGAAAGATGGAATAGGAAGATAAATAAAAATAAAGGCAAAAAACAGGACTGGAAAAAAGAAAATGAAAGAAAGAGGAGGGAAAAAAAGCGAAGAGAAACAAAGTAGAAAAACTGCACTACACTTTCTTGGCCAATCCCCCTGAGTGGGTATGAGCCATCACCCCAGGGAAACAAAACAACAGTTCTACAATTTCTTCAAGCTTGGCATCACAACTGCGAAGCCGCCTTGATTTTTCCAATTTAATCTATTAATTTCACTGAGGATATTCAACTAAATAAAATGACATCTGGTCGTGTGAATGACGCAGGAACGATGAAATCGGCCGAGAACGCCCCGGTGATTTAGTGTGTAGAGAAATAAGTGAGGCGCTCTGAATGTGTAACTTGCTGCATTACCAAGAGTGCTGTGTTGCGGAGTGTAACATGCTGCCACTTTTCCTTATTTCTTTTGTACAGTGCCGCCGCAGACGTGAAGGTGGGCAAGTACGTGATACCTCGCGGCAGCGTCGTCATCGGGTCGATATGGTCCATCTTCTACGATGACGCTTACTGGGGTGATCCGGAGGTGTTTCGACCCGAGCGCTTCCTCGCCAACGACGGCACGAGACCACAGAAACCGGAGAGATTCATCCCGTTCTCCTACGGTAAATCATCCTCTGTCTGGGTAATAGACTGCCTTACACGAGAGAGTGACAACCTAACCAAGAGAGACCCGCGAAGCCCCGATCGTGCTTCAACGTTCGTGACCATTCTCGGCACACAAATTTTATGCTGGCTTGTAGAATGCCACAAGCCAATTTACGATGAAGCAACAAGCCCCCAATGGTAGACAGGCTTTCACTGTTTGTGGAGCTGCCCGAAGGCCCTGTCAGTAGACTTGGGGCTCAATGTTTCCCTTTCCGCGTGGAAGACCGCTCTTGGAGCCTCTAATCTAATAGTAATAATAATTGTTAGGATATAACGTCCCGAAATCACCATATTATTACAACAAATGCCATGGTGGAGGGCTCTAAAAATTTTGACTACCTGGGGATCTTAAACGTGCACCTAAATCTAAGCACACGGGTCTAACGCGATTTCGCTTCCATAGGAAATGCGGCCACCGCGACCGGGATTCTATCCCGCGACATGCGGGTGCGCAGCCGAGTGCCTTAGCCACCATACAACACCATGACCGGTAGGGGCCTCTGACTTGAATGACCAGCTTTATAACTACAGCCCAAGGTGCCAGGCTAGAAGGGGACGAAGCTATTGAATATATAAGAACAAGTGTGACAGAAAAATTTCAACGAAGAAGTACTTTATGCACCGCAATAGACAAGGACGAATCAAGTGGTGCAATGGCTCCATTTTCACAACGAGAGTGGGAAAGGGTTGAGAAAAGGGTTCCTAGTAGTACATCAACAGGCCCAGATGACATTCCAATTAGGCTGACAAAGACATGAGGTCCGAAGTCTAAGCAGGCTTTTAGAGAGGCAGTGAACAAAATAATAATCGACGGTGAAGTTCCCGATGGATGGAAACTTAGCAGGATGAGCATGATCTATAAAGGAAAGGGGGACAAATCTGACATAAACAACTACCGTCCTATAACAGTGACATCAGTGGTCTACAGGCTGGCGATGCAGATTATAAAGGAAAGACTACAGGCATGCATAGAAGATGAGAGGGTGCTGGGGGAACTCCAGAATGGGTTTCGGAAACACAGGAGGCTGGAAGACAATCTTTTCTCACTGACGCAGTGCATCGAAATAGCAGAAAAGGAACACAGGCCCCTGTGGCTAGCATTCTTGGATATCAAGGGAGCGTACGATAGCGTGGTTCAAGAGGAATTGTGGGGAATACTGGACACACTAGGCGTGGAACATGTAGTCACTAATCTTTTAAAGGGTATCTATAAAGGTAACAAGGTAGTTATAAAGTGGGAAAAACAGGTATCCAAGCCTGCAGAGGTAAAACGGGGGCTTAGGCAGGGGTGCCCCCTGTCACCCTTATCATTCATGATGTACCTACAAGGATTAGAGGCCAAATTAGAGGGAAGTGGACTGGGCTTCAACCTCTCTTTAGTCAAACAAGGAAAGCTTATTGATCAGACACTACCAGCATTAATGTACGCAGATGATATAGTGCTAATTGCCAACAACAAGGAAGATTTGCAGAGATTGATGGACATCTGCGGTAATGAGGGAGATAGGTTAGATTTTAGATTCAGTAAGGAAAAATCAGCAGTCATGATTTTCAATGACAACGAAGGTAGTGAGCTTAGGATACAGGAGGTCACGCTTGAGGTAACCGATAAATACAAATATCTGGGCATATGGATAAGCAATGGGACCGAGTACCTGAGGGAACACGAAATATACGTGACGACTAAAGGTAACAGGAATGCAGCAGTGATGAAAAATAGGGCACTGTGGAATTACAATAGGTATGATGTTGCGAGAGGAATATGGAAAGGGGTCATGGTTCCTGGGCTGACGTTCGGCAATGCGGTCTTGTGCATGAGATCAGAAGTTCAAGCAAGATTAGAAATTAAGCAACGTGGAATAGGTAGGCTTGCTTTAGGAGCTCACGGGAATACACCAAATCAGGGAGTACAAGGTCATATGGGATGGACATCATTTGAGGGCCGGGAAGCTAGCATCAAGATAAAATTTGAGAAGCGATTGAGAGAAATGAAGGAGGAGCGTTGGGCTAGGAAGGTTTTCAGCTACTTGTACATGAAGAATGTCGATACAAAATGGAGGAAGCGAACCAGGAAGTTGACTGGTAAATACTTAGAAAACAGCAGCTGGCCAAACCAAAAAGAACTATCGGTTAAGAAGAAAGTGAAAGAAACGGAGAGTGACATGTGGAAAATGGGCATGATTAAGAAGTCCGCACTAGAGATCTATCGAACTTTCAAGCAGGAAATTGCCAAGGAAAGGATCTATGATAATACTCGGGGTAGTTCTCTACTGTTTGAGGCAAGGACGGGAGTACTGCGAACCAAGACATATCGGGCCAAATACGAAGGGGTAGACACAGTATGCAGTGCGTGTGGAGAGGAAGAAGAAACTGCCGAACACTTGATAATGTTCTGTAAAGGGCTTCACCCTATAGTTCAGGATGATGGCGCAGAGTTTTTCAAAGCACTGGGGTTTAGGGACCGGGAGGGCAAAATAGATTTTAAGCAAGTAGACTTAACTAGAAGGAGGTTATCTGATTGGTGGCTAAAGTCAAGGCACGAGTGAAAAATAAACTCTTCACTGCAAAGTACGAATCCTCAAACTCACTTTTTAAGGAAAAAAAATATAGTTTTGGGTTCATTAAGTATTACGGCTTGGTGGCGCTAGCCACCACCCGATCTAAAGGGTACAGCCATATCCATCCATCCATCCATCCAGCTGTGGCTGGTGGGCAAGGCCTGCCTAGAAACGTTGTCTGGGGGCTCCCGGGCACCTACAGGCGCCCAACCACACTTACATAAATTATTTAAAAGTTCCATCCACTGTCATCAGTTCCACTCAGCTTGAGAAAGAGAAGAAAAATCACGGGGCACAAGAAACGAGAGTGGGACAATGAAAAACTTTACTTCGTCCGTATACGCTGCTCATGTGTGTACAAGTTGATGTGTCCTTTGACCGTGCATGACTGGATCGATGCAGTGAGCGTTCCCTTTATAAAGAAACGGTGAAGTTCACATCACTTAGCTTGAAAAGAAACTTCATTATTACCTTTTACTTTGGCCCTTGTCTTGTATACTCATATTAACAATCCCCTCGGAACATCAAGGTAACTTGGTGCGTGTTTCTCGCACTGCGGCTCATATCTTGCGAGGATTCTGGTCGTCAATTGTTTAGATAGATATGTGGGGTTTAACGTCCCAAAGCCATCATTTGATTATGAGAGACGCCGTAGTGGAGGGCTCCGGAAATTTCGACCACCTGGGGTTCTTTAACGTGCACCCAAATCTGAGCACACGGGCCTACAACATTTCCGCCTCCAGCGGAAATGCAGCCGCCGCAGCCGGGATTCGAACCCGCAACTTGCGGGTCAGCAGCCGAGTACCTTAGCCACTAGACCACCGCGGCGGGGCGGTCGTCAATTGTTTAACTTCATTCATGGTGTGCAGCAGGGTTTCACGTTCAAGTGTAACGGAGTTTAGCATGCTGTCCCACTATTTTGAAAGCGTTAATAATAGTCTTACCCTCACGGCTCGTCATGTGATGTGACAAGAGAGCACACATTCACCCACTAGGCATGTGCAATCTCTCATACGCTTCTTTCACAATTCACTTCCCTCGCTACAGCGCGCACAGCTGCCTGAGCCTGCCTTGATGACAGACCCATGCCAGAACTCGGTGCTCGAAAGCCGACACGATCTGTTTTCACATAGAAAATCAGTCCAGGCCTTATTGGTATGTGGGGTTTAACGTCCCAAAACCACCATATGGTTATGAGAGACGCCGTAGTGGAGGGCTCCGGAAATTTCGACCACCTGAAGTTCTTTAAAGCCTACCCAAATCTGAGCACACGGGCCTACAGCATTTCCGCCTCCATTGGAAATGCAGCCGCCGCAGCCGGGATTTGATCCTGCGACCTGCGGGTCAGCAGCCGAGTGCCTTAGCCACTACACTACCGTGGCGGGGCCCCCAGATCTTTTTTTTTTTCGCACGTCTACTTTTCGCTTTCCTTCTCTTTCTTCCCCCTCCCCTTACTGCAAGGTAGCACTTGTTCTCCCTGCCTTTCTCTCAATTCATTCTCTCTTTCTCTCTTATCAATTAGTTTGTCTAAAACGTGTTTCATCTCGTCGCAGGCAAGCGCGCGTGCCCCGGAGAAGTTATCGCCAACATGGAGACGTTCATCTACTTCACCAGCATTCTGCAGCACTTCACCGTAGAGGCACCGCCCGATGGCCCGAAACTCGCGCTCGACGAAGTACTCGGCATCTCCCTTCGACCGAAGCCGCAGGAGCTCCTTTTCCGACCACGAGAAGTGCACCTATGAGCGGACGTTTTTAGAACAGCCAAGTAGAAAGACCTTCACCTGAGCTTGGCTTTTACGAAAGTGCTTCGCACTTTTTTGAAATTGCCGGTTCTCGCTTTCTTGTTCGCGCTGTTACCACTAGCAACACGAAAGATGTTGCTTCTTATCACACTACTAGTATTAAGTCACAGCACTTGTATTAAAAAGTAGCCGGTGGGCAGCCATGTGAGACTACTTCATAACTTTTCAACCAAAACGCGTTATTCTTAAAACGCTCTTAGCTTTTCACTTATCACTCTTGTTAGGGCAAACCATTATATTTCGTATAGACAGCATTATTTCATGTTACATATAGGCCATTATCCTGTGAATAATTTGCTTACTGCGTACGCCTTTGCATAGTCTCACGTGTATGTCTTTATATGTCGTGCTAAAATTAGCGTGTGGCGAAGCCTGCTCGATTCTTGCTGATCTTCGCCTGCTCCACAGGTGCGAAGAATGTTGGGCGAAGAAAGGGACACAGCTCCTTTCTCAGTCTTCTTCCGTATCTATTCCTTTCTATAATTTATTACCAAAAAGAGCGACTGAATAGACTAGTGAGAAAAGGCGTTTAGCTTTTTTTGTTTTCAAAAACAGATGAACCCCCGCGCTACTTCGTGGTGCGAATTGTCCATTCACCAAGGAAAACAACAACAACATGATGTTTCTTGCTATGTACAGGTCTTTATCGCAATGAAAACCTAAGTATGGGCCCATAACGTGCAAGTGTATGTATCGAGTACGAGAACGCAGTATATTTCACGAAAATTACGCCACGTTTTGTTCAGCACGCGTACATTTGGTTGAGTGTAGCGTGATTTTAAAATAAAAGGGTGGTTTGATGTCGTTCGGTTACGATCGTGGCTGCAGAGTACCAGCGAATTTCGCGCTTGATTATTTTGTTCTGTTCCGCCAAGATGCTCGCGTCTGAGTTGCCCTTCGCAACCCTAATGTTGTGGTGCCTGAAACGCCATTTACAAATTTTGCTCTAGCCGCTGTGAGATACATCCCACCCCAGGCACTGCATTTGTCAGACTGCAACCATTGGTATGAATGTGCTTTTTTTTCACCAGCGATTCCTCGCCAAACAATCGTTCATCAAACGCTTGACTATGGTGTTCTTTGTTTAGATTAATTGCAGACGTTGGCCATCTTCTGTTAAAGCAAGCAAGACTCAAAGTATGTCCTCAGCGTCGCAGCTATTGCAACAATGTGTCGCTTAATTAGCCAGAATGTCATCCATGTCTCTTGTAGCTGTGTGTGTCTTTTTATAATTAGAATGTAGTTTTTTTTTCGTTTGTCATTGGAGACTCACCTACCGTTATTCACGGTCAATGACAATAAACGTACATGCGCCATGTATGCGTTGGATTCATCCGCATTGTGGTCTATACACCAGAACACATCATGCTCTGTGCGTGCTGCCATTTCCGGAATGTGTGCCACGCCATATGTAGCAAGTGCGGTGAAGTAGCACCGTGGACGCCAGCAGACGCTGCGTAAATCAAGCGCGTACCTTCATATTACCCTGAACCCGGCTGTAAGAACGTTTCGCGATTTTACTCTCCCGGTGCTGTTTTCTTGTGAAACGTCCAGAAGACCTTCCTCGGCAGTCACGAATGCCTACAGCACGTACACTGCAGACTACGGAAGCAACTTTATCAGGTACATACTATCGGGATGAAAATAAACGCGAACAGCGGAAAGCGTTGCTTTCGATTCGGTTGAACTGCGGCATGCCTTGGCTGTGGCTATAGGCAGAATTCGTGCTGTAAACCGGAGTCAGCGTAGCACTATAATGCCGCTCTGGCCTGCACTCATGCACCACATGCGTTTATTTTTTGCAGACGTTCACTGCGAAACTGCCAGCCAGACCAAGATTTTATACTGTGCTGGTGAAGCCGGCTAAAAGCACAGATTCGCCTAGCAACCATCAGGTCATGTATTAGACGGAGTCGAAAGCCACGCTTTCTGCTGTTCACCTTACATTGCATCGCAATAGTACGGCGTTACAATTGTATACTAAGCATGCACAGTGCGTGCATGCACGCGCGAGTTTTAATGTACCTTATTATTGACATGTGGCCTGCGTAAGAGTACGGCAATGATTTGCTGCCACGGCAAATCTGCAAGCAATTCGCTGCTGTAAGCAAATCGCTGCTGTAAAGCAAAACAGCTAGCGTCGCATTTGAAATTGAATAAACGCAGTAAGTGTACTCACACTTCTACAGGGCTCGTAGTTTTTTTCTCTTGACTTCAATTAATGGCTCGCGGCGGAGATTGGCGTTTCTCATTTTGAATGAAAATCTGTGCAGTCCGAAAACACCTCCACGGCAAGATTAGCGCGTGGCGTTGTGATAATCACAGACAATGCTGAGTAAGAGCTTCCTCTTGCACTGATTATTATCGCATTCAAAGACGACGCAGTGGTGCCCAGGCAACTTTCTTGTAAGCGGTAGTGGCGTGAATGGGCGCTTTCTCGTATTTTAAAGTCTTAGAGACGCCATTTGTCATGTTATCTTGCCACAGATACAGGATTTGGCAGTTCAAAACAAGATGGCGTCTGCGAGGGGAACATGCCACCTGGAGCCCAGACACCTGGGTGCAAGATAGGCGTGGCCTGGTCTATAACGGTTTTGGCTCCCGAGTGTTGACTCGAAGGTCACGAGATCAAATGCCGGCAGCTGTGGCCGCATTTTCAATAAAGGTGAGAATGTTGATGCCCGTATGCTTCGATTTAGGAGCACGTCAAAGAACCCCAGGTGGTCGGAATTTCCGAAGCCCTCCCTTATAAGGTCTCTTTTTCAAATATCCTAGCTTTGAAACGTGAAACCCCGACTATTATTACTATCTATCAACTGAGTTTACTTGCAAAAACACAGATACCATGAAAAAAAGTCAGTTTCACCGCAGCGGGGCGAAGCTAAGAATGTGATAGCGACATTTCAACTCCAGCGAAATGCTCTTCAGCATTGGGGATCCAGGAATTTTGCGAGCCGCCAGATCGCATGCGCCACTCTCGTACTCTTGTGCTCGCGTTGTCCTGTTAGCCCTCCTCTAGGCGGCCAACAAAACAGGAGAGCACGTGACCTCGAGAGAAGAAAATGCGAACTGCGTTTGGCACGTTAATCCAAGGCACGGGTTTCCTGCTGACACAGAAACGTTTCGAACCTGGGCCTCTATTCAGCCAAGACCACTTACAGACCCACCCGGAAAGGGCTGAAAATGAGCAGATTCCTACAGCTTTACATGGCGGATGGGCACGAAATCTCAAAGTAGACTCCATCAGGGTGCTCGGACTGCTGCTGGAGGAACTCACGGACTCATGCCTCCTCTCCAAGACTAAGAAGGTGCTTAGGCTCGGTGTCACGAACCACAAGGGTGGGCTGAGCAAGAACATGCATTTCTCACAAGTCAAACTATTTTTGTCGCTTCGGCATTGCACTGGTCCGAAAAAGAAGGAAAGAAATTGATAAACTAATGTGAAAAATTATGAAGTGCCAAACTTGGGCTTGTCTATCCGCCACAGCGCCGAGAAGCTCGTACAGTTATATAGGCATATATAACTAACTCCCTCTCGGAGGTGAACGAAGCCCGGCGGATGGCTCACTTCGTGCGTCGTCACGGGCTGGTAGGCGCATCCTGGAATCCATAGGCTGCGGTCCCACACCCGACCCTGATACAAGGTAAGGCGTCGTATAAATGACTCGGGCCCGTTTTTAATTGAAATCTTGTCGCAAACAGTCCGGACCTTGCTACTTTTTTAGCAATAGTTATATTGGGCAAGCTACTTTTGTAGCTGTCTCAATATAACTTTTCCAAATACAATATATAATTTGACAGTATAACTTTTCCAAATAGCTTGCCCCACACGAAAGAAGTTTTTTTTTTCATACAATAAATGAAGCATGTATGTGCGCACAACGAACGTGGAACCATCGTAAGAACTGAGCAAATTCCAAGCCCGGACAAACCCGAGCCCGCCACCTCAAACACGGGCCCAGCCCTAAGCTCGCAGCTTCCGGCCCACGCCTGACCCGGGCCCGCCGTAAAAGCCACACTACCCAACCCAACCCACCCCGGGTTTTCGGGCAGCGACGGGCAGGTGCCACCACCGTGACGTCGTAGCAAACCGTTGCACTGTCAGCGCAGCGCGATTAAACGATACACACTTTAGAGCTACTTGTGTGTGCCTCTTCTATAGTGTAAAGGCAGACATAGAAAACATCGAAGCGTTGTTGTGGCGCCTCAGATACGCGCAATAATTGCTTTTTAATTGACAATCGCACAACTATGAACGCTAAACCTTGAGCAATATTGGTGGGCGCTGCGGATGGGGTTGGCCGTTTGAGGTAACGTTAGGGCGGACAAACAGACAAATGTACAGACAGACAGGCAGACAGACCAAAATTTTTCCGTCGAAGGTCCCCAAGGAATACTATCGTCTTCAAAAAGGAAGAAGGATAGGGTGCTAATAAGTAAAACATGAAATACTGCGTGATACTGTCTGCGTGGACGTTATTACGACTACCCAGGGGTTGCCAAAAACAGTCACCAGCACCAACGTTGAAAAAAGGGGAGGGGGAGGGAGCACACAGCCGTAATTTCCACTCACATGGAGGAGATTCCCAACAGCAGCGCACAAGCAAGAAAAGCGGTAAACAAAAAGGACAGACGCGAAGAGCCGAAGTGGCGACGGACAACAAAGCCGGCGTCGAGCCAACTCCCACTCGCATTTCTCGTGTAAGTTACACGGCATGGTGCATGGAGCAGCGCGCTGGTTTTGCTTCTGCGGCCCGACCCCTGTCGCAAAAAAGCCTCAGAAAGCATGTAACGTGGTCTTGAAACAAAAGAGGCCTTGGTCAACCTCTCCTTGTGTTACCCCTTGCCGCAGGAACTTGCGAACAGGTCCGCCGTAAGATTTGAATGAAATCGCGGGTATGCGTTTACCGCCTGTGCGACACAGCGCCTAAGGGGCCACAGACGGCCACCTCAATTCTGTGCCAGATAGGTTATCTGAGCGTCGCTGTCGCCAGACTCAGCGTCTTTTTTTTTTTCTTATCGTTTATAGCGCAGCTCCTATCGGAACAGACGGAATTCACAACATCGTTGTTCGCAGGTCGCACAGACAGAAGCGCATCTGCGACAAGGTTGACGCCCCTGCGTGTGTTATTGTGACGTTTACGGTGAGCAGAATACAACCACGAATCGTGATGTTTATGCGCCCAATTCTCCCCATGTATTACCCCAGTGTTTGCGAAACTTGTTCTAACCACACGAAGTGCCACGCGGAATAAGCGATCACGATATTAGTATCGCCGCTTGCAGGACATTTAAAGTAGCATAAGTCAGCGAACTACAGTTCAGCAAACCCAAAATGCAAAAGCATTCAGCTATAGCATCCGAGCTTTTGATTATTTATTCTCGTAATATTGATGGCCGGCTTTCTGTCTTCATTGGCACGTGGAATAAATTTTGGAAAAAGCGTGTTCTATTTAATAGATCCTGCAATGTGATCGCAACACTTTGTTTAGTGGCATGGAACCTGATCGTAAGAGAATATTACATATGACGAGTCTGCATCTGTGAGAGCACACCAAAACATGCACGCGTTTTATTTCGGTCAAAGCACTGGCTATAACGCTACGGAAAATATTTGATAGTTTCGAATTTTACACTCAATGTTTGACACGTATAAACTCTATACACGCGAAGGTAAATTGGCCAGAAGACCCGCTTTTCTCGCAGGCGACACTCGTAAACTGTGTCTCGAGAGCAAAACGCCCAGCCTGCGCAAAACACGTAGCGAAGTTTTTGCAAACGTTTGTGGCCTTTCTGGAGGCCGTTGTGAACTCTCTTTGGGTGATTGCTCACGTAAAGTACATTTGCAAGGTATACCCTATTATAGCTTGCCGTAATAGAGGAGAACCCACTGTCATTATTCATTATTGTGCAGAGAACTACATCCTACAGAAATGTAAGACATTATGTGCACCTTGTTGACGCTATGGCTGAAGACGCAAGAATTGTGGTCGAGTCTTGTAATGGGTGGGCAGCTTCAAATTACCCACTCATTACACGAGTAGCATAATGTGGCGCGTAACATCTATGTACGATCTTTTTTGCGGCGCAGTTTCTAGCACCGGCGTTGCTCTGTTACTGAACACTCGACTGTAATGCAGAGGACCTATGTTTACATCCCAGCCGCTCAATCCCGGATACTTTCTCTTCGCCTTATGCGTGATAGCAGTTACAGAAACTAGCGGTGACAGAAAAGTACGCCACCGAAATCGACTGTTGCTGCGATCTTATCACAGCAGTCGCTGTGAAAGAAGTGGTATTGTCGCCACACAAGTCGGCACACTGAATACTCCTTTCTTATTTATTTATTTATTTATTTATTGATACTGTAAGCCTTAACAGGCTCATACAGGAGTGGGAAGAAATTATACAGATTGTCATCTTCACATTAGACAAAAAGTGAACACGGGAAAAAATAAGAAAGAACAGTACAGACTACTCTAAATTATTACAAATTACAACTGTACATCTAGTCGAAGAACCAAGAAATAAAACAGAATAAAATTGGTTATATTGGTTATAGCACGAAGTGAAATTCTGAGATTTTACGCAAGACACCTGCGAGCTAGCAAGGAGTCACACCGTACAGCTGGAATTTCCGCAGCCTGGGATTCAGGTCATGCACCTACGTCCTAGTACAAAAGAACTCCCCCCGATATAGGCACGGCACACTGGCGAGGAGGCGCCATCTAGCTTTGACTTATCCGCCTAGTTTCGCCGACATCGGCTTATAGGGCTGCAAAGAAAAGTGCCCCAAGAATAAAAAGACACGGAGAGGTGCTTCACGGTTCATCACTCATCGCATGAAGCGCATGTACACTTGGAAACTTGCAGATGACAAACACTTTTGATTCTTGTTAAAAAAAAAAGCAATATCACGGCTAATGTTTATCGCGCCTACCCAGCCTCGCTCCTTTCTCTCGCTATACTCTATGCATTCTGGCGCTGCTATCACAGAAGAAAGTACAAGTGCACCTTGCCTGTCATCTTCCGCTGAACAGATTACTGACTCCGACATGAAGTTCTGCACGAAAGCCATGTCAAAGAAGCCTCTGCTGCAGGACGAGTCTGATTGTTATTAATTGTCGTTTACGCACGAGCCTCAATGGCGGTCACAAAAAAAAAAAAAAAGCTTTGCCACAACAGTGTCCTAATTAAAGGTAGCCGCTTCGTGAGACTCTAAGCAATGCAAACTCTGCTGTCGAATGCACATTGCGAAGCATCAATGACCGCTGTCGCGTCACCACAGTAATCAATCTTCAGCAGCAGCACAGTGAAACTGCGATCAGAAGAGACGATTTGTAAGCCCAATAGATGTTTATAGCAACCTTTTTTTTTTGCAGCTTATTATAATCTTGTTAGCCGATTGTGAACCATGCAGGGATACAGCTGTAGTTAACTTTTGTGTGCACGAAGACTCGAACAAGGTTGCATTGTTCTTTTTCGAAGAAATTCTTCAAGCAGTAGAGTGGCCTCCCAGAGAGATTATCTTACCTGGTGTCGTGCAAGCACATCGTCCATACACCTTGACAGTCGCAGATGCAGCTGCTTCGGCACCGCCGCGGTGGTCTAGTGGCTAAGGTACTCGGCTGCTGACCCGCAGGGCGCGGGTTCGAATCCCGGCTGCGGCGGCTGCATTTCCGATGGAGGCGGAAATGTTGTAGGCCCGTGTGCTCAGATTTGGGTGCACGTTAAAGAACCCCAGGTGGTCTAAATTTCCGGAGCCCTCCACTACGGCGTCTCTCATAACCATATAGTGGTTTTGGGACGTTAAACCCCACATATCAATCAATGCAGCTGCTTCGAAGGAATTAGTCACCAAGTTCAGCAACTACTCCCCCGTACTTTTCAAACCACTGCTAAGCTTCAATTGCGGCGTGAGCAGAAGTGTGCAGACCACGGGATCGCGTGGCCGAAGGCATCATCGACGCGCTATCTAGCGACGAGACGCCTGCTGCGGCGCGCATGCGCGTCCCGTCGTATCAGTTGCCTTCTCATGTCGCTCTCTCAGACAAGCTAATAGCCAAAACGACAATTGGGTGTCGCTGTCTTTGCTCCATCGAATTTCTGCTATTTCTTTTCTTTTTTAATGTAGACGCTGCGACGGTGCCGGTTCCAGTGCCGGGATTGCGCAGTTATTTATGCTGATTGATTCATAACTAAGCTTAGCCAGCCTCGCAAAACCTGATGAAGCCTGATGATGTAACAGTTATGGTTGATTAATTAGTCAGATATCCAAACACAGACAAAATATACTAAAGTCTCCCATGACATAATTAGACTGATTATGCATAATTAAA